CCTTACACAAGCCAAATGTAAGGGCTGATTTCCTTCATACACACTTAATATCTCATGTAAAGACATATTCAAGGGATTTTGGCAAGGTATGAAAGAAGATATCATGATATTTCAAGTTCTCATGTGGTGATATTTTCAATACTTTCTAGAAAGATCTAGATGATTCTAGCCTCCTCCACCACTTGTTATTTAAAGAGGGCCATGAAGAGAGTTCAAAGGTTGGTGAAAGTTGAAGAATTGAGGAGAGAAGAAGGAGATTCGAGCTAGGGTTTCAAGGTGTACCATAACTGCATTTCAAGAGAAAAGTCACTACTACAAGCTCTCATCTTCAAGGATTTTGCATACAGAAAGTAAAGCACCATTGGAAGATCACTGTGGAGAAGTTACAAGGCTTGAATCGTGCCATAGCATCACCTCCTTCTCATTCTTGACAGGTTCTTTTCCTTCTCCTTTTCACCTTAATTATGCGTAGATATACCATGATTTAGGCATAGAATGGATAGGCTAAGCTAGATGATGAGATCTTGAGACTTTGAGCATGATTCATGGAGGTTGAAGTTTTGGCATGAAACTTTGGAGATCAAGAACACGCACCCTAGGCCACTATATTCTTAGGTTTTTAGCTCAGCATGATCCCCTTAGCATGAGGTATAATCCTGATTAATATGAGATCATTTCATAACCATGCAAACCAGAGCATAAGAATGGAGGACAAGACTTGCAGCCTTCGTATCTTCTTCTTGAGGGAGAATTAGAAGATTCTAGCACCGTGGTTGTGTAGAGGGAGAGGAGTAGATGAATTTTGATGTTTGGATCGTGAGGAATGATTGAGAGTTGAGGGAGATACGTGGAGTAGAAGCTGCTTGCATGGGAGCTGGTTCTGAAACCCTAGTTTGGCTCGTTGGAGAAGACGTAATCACAGCCGTCCATCTCCTTTGAATATTTGACCTCCCAATCGTATCCAACGGCCCAGATCAGTCCAAGAAACGGAGGGAAATTTGAAAACCTAAACGCTGCGTTTGGTTTAGTGACCGTGTGGGCCTTAGTCTGCCTTCTATTCACACCCCCCACGCGCGCTGGCCCAAATGAAATGAACTGGATCCATTTCTATTCTCACCCCCTCTCTGCTTCTCTTATATTTTTATTTTTCATTTCCTTTTTCATTTCATTAATCTTCTAAAAATCATAACGAAATGAAAAAATATTATTTTTAACTCATTCTTTTTTTAACATTTTCATTAAAATGTCTAGAAAATTAAAAAATATAAAAATTGCATTTTATATTTTAATTGGTATTTTTTGCATATTTTACAAATAAATGCACTTTTTTAACCATTCTTTTCATACATGGATTTGTATATTTTTGTTCATGCATTTAGAAATAGTTTTTTTTGCCCATTCTTTTTTATGGTGATTCATATTGCATTATAGTACTCTCTGGATTTATTACTAGATTTGTGGATTAAAATTTGATGTAGTTTGATTGTTAGACATTTAGGTGCTCTAATTAGGGTTTTAGGTTGTGTGCTTGAACTTCAACAAATTTGTTTTGGGGTTTATAGGCCAAATTAGTGTATGGGGAATACATGGGTTAAGGGTAAGTATGTATAGAATCCCCTAGAATTTTGCTAGAATATTGTATGGTGTTTTAGTATTTTTCATTGATTTTTGAATGTATGGATAGTATGTGTGTTGCTTAAAGGCATAAGTTGTATTGTTGTGTTTGTTTTTCTTCTCTTTTGAGTGTGTGAGCTTTGAAGATTGAGTTGAAGACCTTGTGGATCATCATGGAAGCTTTGAAGACCTTGCAGAGGAGTTTAGCATAGCTTTTGTTGTTTTGTTTATAGGTTTATAGGTGCATAGGCAGAGCCCTAGATAGAATATTTTGTTCAATAAACAAGGAGTGTCTTGTTCACCTCCTTTCTTCTCTGTGACATAGAGTCCCTTAAGGGTATTCACCTCTCTCCTTTGGAGGGATTAGTGACCTTGCCCCATAAGGTAGAACTTTGAGAGAGCCTTTCCTTTGATGTTAAGTCCTCAATGGCATCCTTTGGAAGTCAGTGAGCACTGTAACATCCCCCACTTATCTTGTTGACTGAATCTTGTTTGCTGGAGCATTGGAGCCATTGAAGATAGAAGCTGAGGCCTTGAAAAGGATGATTCCTTGAAGATTATTGAAGTCTGAAGACTTTGTGAAGATCAAATTGACGCCTGAAGATCCCTGAAGATAGTGAAGCCTGAAGGTAGAGCTGATCAAAGGAGCTGAAGCTCAAAGGGAGAAGATGAGTTGATACTCATGTTGTAGGGTTGATACCTGGAAAGCAAGTGATCTCTGAAGTCTGAAGACTGGGTTGCTGCTGGAGGAGCTGAGGCTTTCTTCTGTTTTCTTTGATGTATTGTGTGTTTTGTCTGATTTGTCTGTTGCATTAGATTAAGCACATTTAGAATAAGTTTAGTCTAAGAGCATGAGTGCATCTGATTGTATTGTTACTGCCTGGCTTTGCTTGCGGGTATTCGGTAGAGCCCAGCTCCCTTGCCCATGTGTTTATTTTGCTTGATAGCATGATTTCATTTTCTGCCTGTATGATTACAGTTTACCGTTCTTGCTTGATAGCATGTTGTTTATTTCAGTATGATTGCTGTTATTTCATGACTGGCTTGAGGTCGAGACGAGCTTGTGGAGGCTGAAGCCCCACACACATTTCCTCCCTCACTTGCATTGCATGCATTTTACTGTTAAAGCTGATGCTTTTGTCTGTTTTGGTGTATCATTGACATGATCCCTTAGGACTCTCATTTCCTCTGATGAGGATTTGATGATAGACTTTTAGGTTGAAACCTATGCATGACAACATCTAGGAGGTCCCTGTTCAAACCTCAACCATAGGATGAATCCATGGCATGATAACAGTAGGACTTGATAGTCTCCCTCCTAGTTGGGCCTGTTCTCATCTCATCTCGAAACAGCTTAAGATACAGTAATCATGAATGATTTCTTTCGTACGTTACGAGCCTTAAGCTATCTGAGAAAGGATTGTGGGAGAGTTTCTTTTCCACAGTCTGGATGTTTAGTATGGCACCCTTTGGGTGACATGCGACGCATTCACTCTCAGGTCATAGTCTCTAGTGCGGTTGAAATCGCAAACACAATAAAAAACACTTCTTTTAGGAGATAACCCGTAGTTTCCCGAACTACGTTTGCTCTGATCTTTCATACCAGATGAAAGTACGTAGGCATAGGATGCGATATCCTAGCGAGCAACCTTCCCCACCTTCACCCGTAGTTAGCCGAACTACGTTGACTCTGATTTCTCGTTCCAGACGGGAATACGTAGGCATAAAGCGCGACGCTTTGCCAAGTCATTTTTTCTTTTCTTTTTCAGCCAGCCTTGATAGGTAGATAGATTATAATCAACCCGTCCAAGTAAACAAACAAGCGAGGATCCCGTCGAGTACGACGGACGTGAGGGGTGCTAATACCTTCCCCTTGCGTAACCGACTCCCGGACCCAGACAATGGTTGCGACGACCTTGTCTTACCCTTTTTCGTCAGGTTTTTCCGATCGTTTCCTTTCCCGCTCTGAGGGATAAATAACGAAAGGTGGCGACTCTTCTGTCATGCCGGCACCTTATTTTCGCGCAAGCGACAAATGTGACTTTTGATAATGACGCTATTTTGAGATTATGATTCCGCTGTGAAGTTTGAATTAATTTGTTGATGATAGCGAATAAGTAATTATTATAAATATTTTGAAAACCCGTGTTACGAAGCAGGATTGTCTACTAAAGATTTTTTTTATGATGATGTGACACTCTTGTTGGTGCATTGTGTTGAATTATCTATTAATTTATTCATGGATATTTGTGGGTTAGAAAGGTGTTACACTATGCAACATTTTTCACACTAAAAACTCATTTTTGATGCATGGAACATGTCTAAAATATTTTCAATCATTCCCAACATGTTTATATACATCCTAGTGCTAAGATGATCAAATCACATCTAAAATTAGGTTGATACCGTCAAATATACGAAAATGCTAAAGTTGCTTCCAGTTTTGACATCGTTCAAAACATGACTAACTAAATGGAAGAATGCACCCACAATCTCTATAAAACGAATACATCAGAATTAAACTCATACACTTTTAGTTTAAACATTAATTTATTTCACAATTAAATAGGAAATTGTTTGAACTTTTTTATTAATTTTGTGAAGAAATTAAAATGATATAATATTTTTCGAATGATAAATTATTTTTATGAGAATTTTGGATAATTCGTATGAATAAGGGTACTTAGATACCTATAGAATACGAGTACCCGAGTATGGATTCGGGTATGAAGAATTTTTAAAATTGTGGTTATGAGAACATATACAATAGTATCATACCCCAACCTTACCAATTACAGTAGGGATTCGAATCCACGAGTAGTTCAATTTTTATTTTGACGGATCTATAAACTTGAAGAAAAGTAGCAACTGTTTATAACGTCTTTATTTACTTCATCTATAAAATTGAGGTAAAATTCTTTTTTCAACAAAGGTAAAAGTGATTTTTCTTGGTAGTGAATCAGTCTAAACTCTATATGTATTTCTAAAGTATCATTTGCCTAAAAAAATCTAAAAAAATCAAGAATTGATCTAAAATGGTAAGGTATGATGATACTAATTGAATACATTATATTTTAAAAATACCATAACTCTTAAATGTCCAAAGACAAAACACAAAAATAACAATACAAGGGATATTCATTAATCAAGAAAATATCCAACACATAAAATCATGTGATGGCCAAAACTTAATTCTTAAGAATAAGAACTTGAAAGCATGCTTAGACAAGAGTATTACTAAGATGATTGACAACTTAGAGAGTTCTCTGAGTTAAGCTTTTTTTGTAAATTTGTTAAAAAGAATTGAATTGTACTTAATGAAGACTTCGAAACAAAGAATCTTAATCAACAACGATTTCAACGGTTGAAGAGAACCAAACTCAAACTTAATTCACTCTACTGCAATATTTTCTGATCTGACCCGGGTATCCTGTTAAAGGACTGAGATTTCCCATCTTAACCATCGCGTTAGCGAAATCTAATTTAAAGAGTAATGGATTAATTGCGTAAGACAACACTTTGTAATCAAGGGAACCAGAACTACCACTATAGAGTTGTTGATCAGAATGCAGAAGACCCTTTTTGTCCAACAGATTTTTGTAATACTGATTGTCAAAGAAGTTGGGAGTTGTGGCATCTAGAGGAGATAAGTTGTTGTCACCACCCTTTATTGGACATGTTTTTTGCAACGAAGTTCTATAATCAGATGCAATGTTGCTTTCGTTGTAAATCCTTGACTTGGTAAGTGTGCATTTTGCCTGGCCTATTGTGTGAGAACCTGAAGAACATATCCAACTTGTTGAATTTTCTTAAACTCAAAATCTAATTATATGTATATAATTAAAATTATACAGAAATAATAGGTAAGCGGATAACAAATTGCACCACTATACATCTGAATAATCAAATATCGCATAAACTTACTAAAAAGGTTGTTCAAAAAACATTTATGTGTGTTTACCTGATAAAGCAACCATTTCCTCAGCTGAGAAACCCTTTTTCTTGAACGCATCAATAAGGCCATTAAGGTTAAGGAAGGGAGAAGGTAAATCTAAATTTGGAGCGCTCAAATTGGCAGTTGTTGAATCTTTTCTTCCCACACGAACAGGCCAAATAGGTCCACCAAGCTAAATATATAAATTTGTCAGTCCTCAGTATACATTAAACAACAACTTACAAAACATAGACTTCAACACGGACACTAAGACACGACTCAGACACTCTAACATTGATAATGTAAAAAATATAGAACTCCGACAATGCTATATATTTATAATAATGTCTTTAATTTTTCATTGATAACATTTGCCTCAATATGTTTTTGACCATTTTAAATGTGTCTAAAATTTATTGAAGAAACGTATATAAAGTGTGTTAAAGTATTAAAGATAAAACTATTTTTTATTAAACACTTGTCTGAATTCTCTGAATGTCATACGAGTGCTGGGTACATATTCAAAGAATGTCGAATAAAATACAAAATAATTTTTTTGAGAAATATTTGTCTAACTTTTATAACCCTTTCAAACTATTTAGCACGTGTGATAAGGATGTCATACACCCTGCTTAAAGTGTATTCGTTGTAAAACATAAAAATAAAAAAGACATTCCAAAGAAAATACTTACAGCAACAACAGAATCTCTAGCTGCAACAGCTAAGATATCTGCACATGAAACAACATTAGGGCAATAGGTCTCTAATTTATCTTTTACTTTGTCTATGATTTCGTAACCCCTCAGAGAATTGGCATTGGGAAGAGCATTTTGTTCTCCCTTGAAAGTTGCATTGTCCTTTAACAATACTGAAGCATCGCACCCCTTTAAAAATCAAGCAACGATATCAGAACTGTTTTGACAAAAACAGGTGTAAAAAAAACTTTAGAAAATACAAAGCGTTACTTGAACAAAGCAGTCATGAAAATGAAGACGGAGCAAGGATGCGCCCAATCGACGATCATTCAACACTTCCCTGGTTATGTCTTCCTTAATGATTTGAAGAGCAAGAGGACACTTAGTAACATAAAAAGTTGTGCTCAGCTGACTTGAAGGATCAGGTATGAATGAAGAGACATGAGTAATTGCTGAAGGTATTACATCTGATGCTGAGATTACGCCAATAAGACATATCGCTAAACAGATTCTAAGTTTAATATCAGCCATGTTAATGGTTTGAATAAAAGATATTTTTTATTTGTACTTTGTTAATGAAATGTGTAACCTATTTATACTTGAAAAAATTATGTATTTTGCATTGTTTTTTGGGGTGTTTAGGACACGTTTCTGTTTGATTACAACAGTGAACACTTTTATACACGCTATTCATGCAAATTCTAAGCTACACGATGAATTAGTATGAAACACTTTTTTATAGATATTTTTAATAACAAATATGTATATTAAAATCAAAAGAAAATTTTATTATTGATCCGGTGGCCAATTCATTCTTAATTAAATATTTGTATGGTAAGTATTTCTTTTTATTTTAGTTTTTATTTAAATATTAAATAATATATTTTATCAATTATTTTAATAATTGAGGTTTATGCTACTCAAATTTAACTATACACGAATTTGTTCAATAAATTTTTCTCTGATGTGGTAACTATTTGGGTTGATGGATAATTAAGTCAATGGAATTTTATTTTGAAATTCAAAATTTAAATTCTTCTTCTCTTTATGGATGTTGGGACATGACTGTTGGAATGAAATGTGATTGTTGGAGTAAGATGCCTATGAATAGAATGAAAATTTCCCACGTGTCCTAGACACAAAGGGTCTTCCTTCTCTCTAGAACTTATCGTGTTTCCCCCCAAAACTTTCTAGGGGTTTTGGCTTTGGGACCTTTCCCCTCCCATTCTAAGTGTTGCGTCGCTTGTTTTTCCAGTTCTTTTCTAGTTTACCCACCATGGTTGTGTGGTGTTTTGTTCTCTTTTTCTTGTTCCCTCTGTTTGCTCCATGTCGGTTTCTAGTAGTTTTCTTTCTCCCAAAACACTGACGACGAAGATCTGGACCGACAATCATTTCCACTCAACAGCTTTTACCTTAACGATGGTAAACACATGGAAACTAAAGAACTCGGTCGAAACACAAGAACTCAACAAAAATTTATTCCTTTTTCGCTTCAGCACAAAGCGAGATATGAAAAATGTTTTGCGCAATGAACCTTGGATTTTTGACTGAAATCTAGTAGTCCTTGCAAGAGTGTCTGGTAAAGAGCAACCGTCGAATTTGAAGATGCACTACGCAACCTTTTGGGTCAGGGTATACGAGCTTCCATTAATTTTGAGAACAAAAGTCGTGGCAAATAAATTAGGAGGAATTTTGGGGGGGGGGGGGGGGGGGGGGGTTTGAAGAAGTCGACCAGAAGGGCGCTCATATGAATGGGACATTTCTTCGCATCAAGGTGACATTGGATTTAAAACAACCACTTAAGAGAGGCACGATCATTAGGTTTAAGGAGAAAAATCTTAGGGTTTTCTTCAAATATGAACATCTTTCAACTCTCTGCTTCGTTTGCGGAAGATTAGGTCATCAGTTAGAAGATTGTGAAGTGATAACAGATTTGTCTGATGAAGGTTTTGAAGAGCTTGATGATAAAAAGTTATCCTTTGGACCATGGCTACGTGTGTCCCCTTGCCAAAGATCCCAACAGAGAAACGAAACACTATGCCAAAAAAGACCTTTAGCAGCGCTTTTTTTGGCCTTTAGCAGCGCTTAAAAGCGTTGCCAAAAGTGGCGCTGCTAAAGGTAAAGGCAGCGCTTTTGTTTATGGAAAAAGCACTGCTAAAGGCTCCCTTCAGCAGCACTTTTAGCAACGCTTTTTTAGCCCTTTAGCAGCGCTTTTATAAGTGCTTCATATTCCCCCCAACCATCCCCCCTTTAGCAGCACTTTCACAAAGCGTTGTCTTAGACCCCACCTTTAGCAGCACTTTTACAAAGCGCTGTCATAGCCCCCCCTTTAGCAGCGCTTTTTAGAAGCGCTGTCTTAGACACCCCCCCTTCCAAACCTATAGCAGCGCTTTTGTAGCGCTATATTTATAACCTTTAGCAGCGCTTTTTTGTAAAAGCGTTGTCTAATGTCCCAGATTTTAATTTTTTTTTTTAAATATTCACGCTGTTTTGTATATTTACCAACAACCTGCTTATATTACACAAACCTGCTTATAATTCAGGCCTTTATTTCAACACTTTGCCCTTATATATACAATTCAAAATTTTGGTCTTATATATACAATTCAAAACTTTGGCCTTATATATACAATTCAAAACTTTGGCCTTTAAGTATACATTGTAACTCATCACTTTGCCCATAATTATTTTAATACACATAAACCTGCTTAAATATGTTACAACAAAATCCGATCCTCAGAATTACAACATCACAAATACAGTCAATTTACATATAATTACAATTCTTCCAATCCGATAACTTTATACAATTCTCAACTCAAGAATAAATTGAAACCATTCCTCTTTAATTTCTTCCAATCTTGCTTTCGTGTAAGTAGCGTACTTGAATTCATCAAAACACTACATAATATAACAGAACATGCAAGATTTAATTTTAAAACTAATTACTCAGATGAAGTATCGGATAATTATCAAAATGAATCATATAACTTATATAATTAATTGATCCATACCATGATTGGAACCTCTACTTGACCAGAAAGAATAATTTCCTTCATAAAGCGCAATACAAAATATCTGCAGTCAATCCCATTGCACTGACGAGGACACTATAAATGGAAAAAACAAACGAACATTTATCAGGATATATAGTTTAAATAGTTTTACCAAGTAGAACCACTATAACAGTCAAACATGAAAAAATATGCCTCCACTCTGATCCAGCTGATGTTGTTAGCCTTGCTTTTTGGCACCGTTGCATCCTTTTGTGCTCTGAATATTTGTATAACTCTAACATAATATAAACGCATATTTAGAACAATTTCACATAATTAATAAAGATATATAATTATTCAGTACAGTATATCTCATCACTTACGTATCAACCATGTTCCTCAGATTTTTATATTTTGTTGCATCGCCATCCAATGAATCTATATAATACACTATTTCTTTCCTCGGATTAATCGCGACCAACAACCAATGTCCACTATAAAATAAGACAACAGTTTAGACGGAAATGTTATATAGAAAGGAAAAAATCGAACAATTATAATAAATGAATTTAGAATAAAATCTAACCCATGGCCAGTATTATATGGCAACAAGAACAACTTCTCTGTAGTCGCGCCCATAAATCTCTGCACTATGTACTCTTTGACTGCATCTGGTGTCTGGTATATTGTTCGCGAGTTGACACAACTAGCAGATAAGAATGCGAATACTGAAGTCAAATCATTCGGGACCAACAACTTGTCATACAAGAGCCTAAAAAAACATAATCAACATTAGAATATTCAGTTAAACGAGCAAATTTTAAAATATTCAATTATTTAATTAAAATGGATCGAAGTACCTGATGTATGAATGCATAACACCGACGCCCAATTCAGAATGGTTGAAAACCTGGTCAAAATCCTCCTTAGCAATTGTTTCGGGATATTCAAAACCGAAAATACCTCCGTCCATATGTATTTGACGGGTGCCACCCTCAGGCACATCTGATGTTCCCACATATGTTTCAAGGCATATCCTAAATCGAGGAACAAATGCTTTTCTGGGCACCTTGAAAGTTTCAGGCATCTTACCCTTGCTGACTTGTTGCGACTGCTGATCATGAACCTAAAAGTCATATATAAGTTCAGTAATTAATGTATAATAAGATAATCATGTAACTGTAGTAGTACCTATTTCTTTGATGCAGCTGAATCGGTATCCCGCACAATAATTCTATCATCTTTTAATTTGGATTTCGTAGGAGTCTAAGATCATCATGTAAATAAGAAAATGTAAATGTAAGAATAACTTTCATGTATGGATCATAAAACATTTGAGTATTAAAAGGTTCAACCTACCTCATCATTTATGCAAATGAGATTTGTCGGCCATACCACATACGCTCCTATTGCGTCTCCCACCACTGTTGCGCCTGAAATAGCATCTAGTATAGGAAACAACGCACCCCCTCTAACGCAATATCAATAGATACTTTCAAAAATCCATTCGGGAGCGGTTTGTGGTGAAGTAAGTCTCCCAGAGTGTTATGCACCTTTCCCTTGCCAACCATTCGATGAGTCAGTGACGATAAATATAGCCGGCAAAGTGAAATGCCCTAAACAAATAATGATCAGTTAATGTGTCAATTAAGTAAACTGTGCTAAATTAATTTCAATGTAATATATACAATTACCTCTGGAAGCTTCTGTGGACAACCAATACTATCTTTGTCACTAGTAGCTTTACCCTTTGGAGCGCGCCTTTTTGACATGTATCTCTCCTTGTCCTTCTGTAATTCATGAATCTGCGCTTTCAATTCCTCCAAAGTATCCATCACTTCTTTATTGGTTGGATTTTTTTTCTTTGGCTGCTTATATAGTTTGGATGGAGTGACACCAAATCCCTTACCCCTCACACGCCTAGAATACTCAGGAATATTCAACACCCGACTCAGTAAGCTCCTGCAATCATCATCCCCAGCGGGAGTTATGGTCTGGGATAGAGTCTCCTGAAATATAGATAAAAACATATATAAATATATTATACACTTTTGATTAGTTACTGACAAAGATAACGTTGTACTTACACATTGTTCAAAGACTTGTTGAACTTCTTCCTGGATGACTCCATCTCTTCCCACACGGACAGCCTTCCATACAACATGGTCCGGAAGAGATGTTGCATCACTCTTCTCCTCTTCCAACTACGCATTAAGACGGATAATAAAACATTATATCCTATTATATATACTTACTATTTTTTGTAAATATATCATATTAAAGCATTTATATGTACTTACTATTTTTTGTTCTAAGCGTGCATATCCCAAACGCCCCTTTCTGTATGGATATGCAGGATTTGATGCCCGTTGACGATTTACGCCACTAACAACCTGAAAAAACAAGTTTATCAGAACTCTTATGGAAGAAGTATATATACTATACATAGTTCATGATAAATTGTACTTACTTCAAATTCTTTTGTTCTTCGTTTTGCAACAAATGTCTCCCATTCTTCCTCTGAAATCAAATCCG